GAAGCCAGGCTTCATATGCTATAGTCTATAACATGTCCACACGAATGTCTCCATTAGTCTTAGACATCCACTTGACCATAATTCCTGGGTCCTAGGGACACATCCCTATTCCTCCTTATGCCAGTTCCATTTCTGTTTCTGATAGATAACTTCATAACTAAAACACAGCCTCTTTATTGAAATAGCTGTTATTACACTCATTTCAACATCTGAATTAGGGACAAATGTACACCTATAAGCTAAGGCACAGTCTGGTGAGTACACAGGCAGGCACGAATGTGGCAGTACCAGATACAGCTGCTTGGAGCTGCACCCTTTCCTCCCAAGAGCTACGTGTAGAGCCTCTGAAAGGGGATTTTATTTCACAGCTTCATGAAATAAAACATCAAGCAGGTTCATATTAAAAATAGTGACATCCACGAGGAAACCCTGTGTATGTGTGAGAGTAAAGGCAGGGAGTGAACTGGAGTCTTTGAGCTCCCGGGCCTACCACGTTTCTATTTATTTATATCCCATACTGAACAGTGTCATCATTCCCCAGCACTTGCCTTTTTTAGGACACTGTCCAGAGTCTCTGGTCTACTGATGTCAAAGCAGATCAGCACAGCATCCGAGTCTGGGTAAGAGAGGGGACGGACGTTGTCATAGTAAGGCGACCCTGCCAGGAAACAGACACACGAGTTTTCAGATGAAAGTCCTCTTTGTCATGCCAACTCCCTTGACTGTCACATCACAGCCCCACCCTTGTTCCCCTGAATTCTTGAAAAAGAATGCAAACAAACACACAAAAGCCTGATTACTGATGTGTTCACTTCTACCAGGAGGTGAATGAGTGGCCGCCTCACAGTGTCTGCCCTAGACTCAGGAGGAGGGCCAGGATGTTAAAGTGAAATCTGCAGGGTTCACAGGCCTGAAAGCACCTGGGTGGGTGAAGTAGGGATGCACTTGGGGCCAGGTGGCCTGGAGTGCAAATCTGCCTCTCCCACTGAAGAAGGAGGGGGCAGGGTAGCTTCAGGACTCTCTGCCTCAGATCTGTCACTAACACAATGAAGATGCTGACCACTTATTTACTTGGGATGAAATCGACCTAAGCGGTGCCTGGCATTTAGTAAGAGATCAATGAATATTAACTCTGGTTATCATTGCTCTATTGTGACTATTGTTAAAGGCTGGATGGTAGTAAGGACCGTCACTTGAGCTCCTTCTTGCAAAAGTAACCAAAACTCAAAATCAGTCTGATAGTAACATGATCATGGTAGAAGGTAGGTTCAACTACACAAAAAGAACCACAGTAAACCACATTAGTGCCAGCCTATCTCCAAGTCACAAGTTTGGATAAGCCATTGACCTTTGAGCTTGTTTACTGAATGAAACTAATCCCCAAACCCTACAGAGACACTTCCTCTTCCCACCAAGAATATGACAAATGTCATACTGGATCTTGTCACTGTTTTTTTTCTACAGTTCCATCTCTGGGAGTGACACGCAGGCATGATCTAATATCTTAGCCTGAGTTAAGTCCAAGGCACCATAAAGGTTCATCACCAGCCAATTAATTTAACCACAGTACCCTCTAGTTGTTTAGGAAGTTTCTTCTAGTCCTGTAAGAATTCTAAAGGATGGGCAATCAGATGAGGCCAATAATTACCAAGTGGTATGACTATAAAACTCAAAACAGCTTGTTAATTGCTACTTTTTTAAAGACATCATTTTCAGCATATAGATATTTCAGAAGCAAAACACGAAAATCATTTTACTAGGCAAACATACACACAC